CCAGAGAAATTGCAGATTCTCACAATTGGTACACATGGAGATGAATGCAGTGATGTAGCAAAGTCTAAACGTGCATTAGCGAAAAAGTTGGCAGAAATAATAAAAGGAAATGATGATTGCAAATTCATTAAAGATGATGGAGTTCTTGTACATGAAATTGATGGTCGTATTGCTGAAAAACCTATTAAAGAAAGAAAAAATGATGAAACAACAAAGAGTTCTCTCAAAAGGGCTGATTATTTGCTAGAAAAAAATGGAAAAGATATCAAAATTCCATTTTATTACTACTTCTTTGATATCGTACTTCGCGTTAAAGCAAAAGAGGGGTGTGGTGTCTTGCGATTGTCCACCTGCAAAAGTCTTGGGGAAGATTTAAAACTGGAAGAAAAGGAAGTGATGGAATCTCTTAATTTCTTGCACCATATCAACAGTATCATTTATTATCATGATTCTGAAGCCTGCAGTGACCTGGTGTTTGTTAACATAGGCAGTCTCATCGGTATTCTCAAGGAGTTGGTTGAGTATGTTTACAAGGCTCACTTCGATCATGATGACAAGGATAGCATTATAAAGGGGATGCTTTCAAAGTCCAATTTTGAAGAGATTTGTGAAAAGCAACTTGACCCCATCACAAAAGAGCTAAAAGTTGATGATATTGCAACAAAATTGCTGAATCTTTTTGTGGAGCTCTCAATAGCTACACCAATAGATGATAAATATTTCATACCAGCTCTCCTTCCAGTAAGAGACGTTACAGATATCAATCCTTATAAAGATCGTGTGCCATTGCTGTTTTACTTTGAGAAGGCTACCCCAATGGGTCTTTTCTGCTCTGTTGTTACTCATCTTCTTTCCGGGCCTTGCTACAAAATCGCTTCGATAGAAAGTAACTTCTCAAATCACATCAAATTGGAATATCGTAAAAAAGGAGTTGCATCATTCCGCATTTATCTAGTTGAACAGGTCAATTGCATTGAAGTCCATTGTGAGGAACAGAGAGGGGAAGGGATAGTCAGGGAAGATGTCAATAATGCGGTAAAACTTGCAGCTAAAAGTCACAGTCTCAATGACAGCTGTAAGAGTCCAGAGAAGCGATTTTATTGCCCATGTAAGCGTGGTCCTGGAAGTGCTGGTACTGAAGGAAGTACTGGATCAGGTGCTGCGGGAGGAGGTGTCACAAAGAGGAAGAAGAAGCATACAGTTAAAGTTGAGACTGTGACTAAGAGTACCATATCTCTGGAGCGGTATATCTTTCGATGCAGTGAAAAAGATGATGTATGTAAATTTGATGAGACTGAGAAAAAGTGGATTTCTTGGCTTGACAGTAAGCTATTGTGTTATTGCCTGGATTATTGTGATGCTATCTTCTTTATTATCAGGTCCAAAGACAGTATTAAAACCCAGACTCAAGCAAATCTACTTCATTTTGGGACCTATTATTAATGTGATATTATTGGGACTGATGATTTGGAACTATAATGGTAAGAAATTAATTAATTACAATGATTAATGCAACATTATGTTACATAGACTTTGCTCCAGTCAATTCACAATTGATCATTGGATCATTAGTATTATTATTAATAGCTGGAGTAGTTGAATGTTGCCATCATGGTAAGGATATTATTATTTACAAGATACTTTTTAACTCTATTTTATGTGCATACAGATACTGTATTTTTAATGACGGTACCAGTAGGAGTAACTATTAGTCTCTTGTTAGTAAAAGTCTTACTAGAGTGGGAAATCTGTTAGTTAAATTGTCTTGTGATTAATATTAAATTATTTTTCCAAAGATGAACTTAACTCTCCACTTGCCATGACAATACTATTGATTGCAGTTCAGACAGTATGGTTACTTGATTGTAAGTATTATACTAGTTATTTAATGAC